ATGGACATGAGCACGCGACTATGAACTGAGATTCTGTGTGACTCCGGACAAACATGTCAGAAATAAGATTTCTTTGGATGATCGCTGGCGTGAGAAAGTTCAGAAAAAGTCATAATACCGCAATTACATATATTTTCGTTTGTGAACCGCTTGTTTCTGAAATCGTGACGTAATAATTTGACATATTAGTCAGATACTAGTCAGAGGAAAAACGTGTCAGAAGCATCACCCTCGTAAAGCCACATGGCAATCCGATAGCCGGATAGCCGTATCGAGCACTTAGCACTAATTTGGCTAAGAACATACCAAAATCGCGGAGGACTATGATCAATGAAAAGGTTTCATGAAACTATTGCACCCTAGGTACTCCAAAGAAATAACTAGACAGCAAAACCAATGAACGTACGAACGAACTGTGCTTACGTCTTCTTTGTAAATGGAAGTGTCTCAACGGCAACAGGACATGAGTGAAACTCCAGAAATTGACTTGCGAGTACGGATTAGAGGTTATGTCTTTTAGAGGCACAAGAAGAGTTATGACACATCCTTAGCAGTGCAGAGAAGGGAAATTCCAGACAATTATAATAGTCTCTAAAGTTCATCCAGCAAGGATTCTCCTAACAAGCTGGTCCTGAACTACCTTTCTCCAAGTTAGAATCAGTCAGTCAGTCAGTTTTGATGAGCAGTTATCCTTTTGTGCTGCAGAGACAGAAACGATAGACAAGGCCTCCAACGTTTTTTGACCACATGCCTGCGTATAAACTTGTAGAAGATAACCTGGCTCTGGAGCCGAGTTCATCCTGCACCCCCCCCGCTCCCCAAGTTGTTCTTAGTCAATCCCTTGGAGCAAGCAGTAGCTAGTTACCGTCCTAGGTACAACTCTAACAGTCAAAATAAACTTTACATTACCCAAATTATCGCAATCGCCCAATATATGTCCCACTGAAAGAAAAAAAAGTAACCATCACATTTCAGAGAGGAATCTTCAAAGGATTTCACTTTCGAACCGACCCACTTTTAGTCGTTTGCTCCCCCGCCCCCTAGCCCATTCCTTCGCATTACCTGCAGACCACAGCATTTTGCATTAATACCTTCTGAAAACGATTTCATGTAGAATCAAGGGAAACAAAATATATTGTCTAGTCATTTCTCACACTTGCAGTGAACGGCATTACTGCTTTTCACCTTAGAGCAAGGAGGTAAAATAGCGAAGAGGTCAGTCTCGAGCTCTGAAAGTGCCGGGTTCGAATTCCGAAAAAGGCTACATTTATTTCAACCGCTAATTCCGCTGAGCAAGGAATTTATCCCGTGTCACTGAGGTGCCACCAGTCGAGAAACGGTTTTAAATCCATGACTTGCGAACGAGAGGACGGCACGATGTGCTACTGTGATCACGCCAACACAGTGGAGGGGGGTAGGGGTGGACATACTGTCTGCAGCGAGTGCTTCATATGGCTGCGTTTTGCCTAAATACCTGATAGCTGTTTATTCAGTGCGACAATCAGCAAAAGGCGCAACTCCTAAAAACAGCGTTGTTGTTTCTACGCTGTTTGCTGTTTATCACTGAAAGAAACTGTAATATTGATTTACACTGAATTGGAATGTGAGATCCATTTATTCATACTCACACCTAGCCATTACTGGTGGACTATGGTGCTTAGTACGGTGTCAAACTGACGTGGGCTTTAGGGTTTTTGATCTCAGTCCTTTGCTAATCAAGCAAACTCCATAGACTCATTTCAAAAGAGGCAATTTAAGTCGTCTGGTGATTCCATGATTATGAACTCTGAACTGCTTCCCTTTAGTTATTTCTCCAAACGGACAACTGAGTGTTGCATGCTGAAAGTGCTGCTTTTAAAGATAATTACCTTGAGCCGTCTGCAAAAGCAGAACGCCTCTGGCCTGTATCTGCGGATTTCAACACCATTGCTATATTACTGTACCATAGAAAAACAAATCTTCTCTGGAAGCAGATCTACCTCTACCTTATTCATTCATATTGCACGCTAGCCTTCTGGCCGACGTCTGCTCCTACATAAGAAGCCCTCGGCCTGGAGTAAACAGTTTTTTTCTCTCAACCATTAACCTTTTGTTAATTTCTACAGCTACAGAATCACGTATGCTCGAAAGAGAAAACAGGTCTTCCTTACGTGCTCCTGCTATCTGGCCTTCATCATGCATCGAAGCCATGGCTACAGTACGCATTTCAACTATAGAAAAGTTCTTGCTGCTTTGTTAGAACAACTACTGTCATGCCGTATAACAACACTGATCTGATATAAACAAGGTACAGACAGATTTCTGTGCAAAGAGTTACTCTTTTTTCAGAGTTAAGATTCATAGTTAAGCGGCCATGAGCTGGCTAACTGCTACATATCAGCAAAGAGAAGTAGTATTTTTGTTTCGAATAAACTTCTGTGCTCAATTTTCGAACGTTCCTTCGTGAACGACGGTGCGGCTTGATTATTATTGAATGACCACTAACTGTACCACGCTACCGTT